TACATTTAAAAATTTATTTTTATTTCTTTGAAAACCCCCAGTGCTGCGATTTCTTCCAGGGAGATGGTGTCTTGCCCGGGTGCTATGAACTTTCTCATATGTATGATGTATGTATTGCATTCTCCTCAACTTGCAGTCATTATTGGGTGGACCATATTGTGGGTCTTAAGTGCTACATCTGGTCTATTATTGTCTATTATTATCATTACAATTCCCCTATATTACTCTGTACATCTGTTAATTACATTGCTTATGGTCCACATTTATAACACCATCCATCCTACTTGATTCAAAAAATACAGTTGCTGTGACGTGTCAGGTGCAGTCTTTTCCTTGATTTTTTTCACCAATCTCTGTACACATTTGATTCAGCCTAGGCTCTTCTTAGCACACTTCGCAATATGTTTACTATCTCTTGTTGTATTCTAGAGTATTCTTCATATCATTAATTCGTTTTACTTCCTTTGTTTCAATCCATACAACTGCAAAATTTCAGTGGACATCCAATGTTTCTTTTTGCAACTCTGATGGTTTGTTGGGATTGTTGGGGCATCGACCATTAAAAAAACAGGTGGCCAGACCATACCTTGATTGGCCATTTTCATTTATGGAAGCTAGTTAGGTTTTCTCCCAATCCTAGATCTGACCTCTCACTTAGTTTATTCTGACTTCTCAGACTCTCTTGACCACTGGACGTCCTAGAAAAGGGCTATATACGATACTTTCAAGCTGCAAGAAATAACAAACAGCGACACAGTTCTTTACCACGGCCCTAGTTCTATTAAAATGATCACAATTAATTTATGCATTTACATGTCATCACGATTATAAGCTATACTATTACTAAGTCAATTATTGCTACAAAACTACTCTTACCTCCCCCCCCCCCCTTTTTTTTGTGTGGTATCGCCACAATGTAGATGGTAGACTGTTCACAAGTACGCTACGTTAACGACTGCCTTCGGTCTGCTCTCAACCTGGGCAGTGTTCCATTGTGGTTTGTGTGGACACCGTCATAATCATAGTTTGTGGTTTTTTGACACTCTTATGATCATTTGATGTCCACCCCTTCAAATGAACTTTACAAATGAATACCTTTATTCGTCCTTTACCGTCTAGATATATCTGATTCTCACATGCTGGATGTAACGACTAGCTTCTCTACTGATTTACTGATTTTAAAATCAACATCATAGCACGCCCAGTATACCAATATATGTTCCGTCTCCCGCAGCAAATTTTTCATGTGTACATGCGATGTGTTTTCGTAGCAAACGTTCTAATTCTTTCATCCGTCGTTGCCGGATCCACTCCTAATTCCTGTCCACACATTCGTTTCAGATATTTGTTGTCATCTACGCTCATGTCTTTTTTCAGCATTCGTTCATGAATAGTCTTTAGAATGTCCCCTTTGTCCAATGCCAGTGTTCCCGTAGCTATAGCATTTGTAGCCAGAAAAATCTGCTCGTTCATTCCATCGGACTCTATATCCTGGACAGCTTATCCACGTGAGTCCCTGAAACGGTGACGTACTGGTGCTTGGAATCCACTCATGCAATATTTGTCCAATTTGAAACTTCTTCAGTACCGACAGAGAATGAGACACAATAATTATTTTGGTAACCTTATGTTCTGTTATCCAAATAGAGCTGCAGTGATTGCATCCATCTCCGTCTTCATGCTTGATGTAGTAGATATAATAGCTACCCTTTGACTGACCTCACTCTATTTAAAAATCCCCAACCAGATCTTACACCCCGATATTCTGTTACTTAGGCAATGCAGAGGCTAACCATCATGAAGAACATATGGTGTGGCACCTGCAAACAACATAACGTAACAATTTTGTGATCATGCATCTTTCCCGTCGCAGCGTATAGATGTTAGTCATGCGCTCTCACTCATCTTTGGAGAAGAAAATGTGAGCTTCTGATCTGGTACTACAAAAAAAATTACCGTGGACCAGGAAGAAAAAGAAGAAAACCAACACGTCGACATCCTGCATGACCTAAAGATCAGGAAGAACTGGCTCAAAACAGTATCGTCTCTCGAAAGCTGAGGTGTTTTGGACATCTCAAGCACCACGGTGGTCTAGAAAAAACAAGGCAGAGACCGACCACTACAAACGCGGATCCAGGACATTGAAGATGTATTAGTTAGGACGACAGCTGTACCAAAGAGATCAAGACAAGGCTTGATGGAGCACCACTCATTAGCAACCGTCATACGTGCACACTGTGTACTGCACACCATTTGGCTAGTCAGACTACCGACACGGTCTTTTGTTCCACCAATTTATTACGCAAACTTCTCACAGGGTGGGATATTACCCCACACCCCCTACCCCCTACGCCCAACCCAAACCCACTCTGATCCGAACTTGGGACCCAGAGTGACCGATATGAAATCACATCATCATAATGATAAAGTGCTTTGCTGAATGGATGGACGACCATGCGTTTTTACAATCTGCGACCATCAACAGCATGTAACTGATCGTGTACTAATACCCCTCCAAGTGATAACAAAAGGCTGTTTAGAATCGCCTCACGTTTCTCCCAGGCTTGATTGACTAAGAACCAGGGAACCAGATCTCCAGGGGACTTGGGGTACGTTATGAAGACAAAATCCAACAGTCCCTGACAGAGGACTAGAAGGAACAAAGCCAGAAAGAAAACTGCAGATAGAGAAGTCTGGAGATCTCTCTGGCAAACCTCTACACCCAAAGTAGAATAGAGGCAATAAAAGTAAGCTTCACATTGCTCGTAATTTTATCCTGAAACACTTATTCTCTTTCCAGTTGATGACACCAAGTGTTTGTAATTTATATTATATCTCCATCGTTTTCTTGAATTGCCTCTGACATTATTTGAATATGCCCAAGCCATTTGAGTCAATTAGCCATCATGATATCGGTGATAAATGGTGGTTTAAACAGATTTGAATTTCTTGGTTACTTCCCACTCTCCCGTTGTTTGCAACTTTGATGGGTCCATAGGTGCGTCGTAAAACTGTTTTTGAAAATGTGTAACAAGGTTTCATATCTTTTAGTTCTGTTCCAAGTTTCAGAGCCATATAAAACATCTGGTCTTTTCAGTGTTTTATAAATTTTGATGTTGGTGTTGCGAGATAGAGATTTAAGACTTTAGAAATTGTCGAAGAGCATAGTATAATTTATGTCCAGATTGTATTCTAGATTGTATATCTTCTCTCAGCATGCTGGAGCAGTTGAAATTTTCACTCACATATTTACGTTAATTTGATTTTCATATTATCACAGCCTGTCTATTTTAAGTCTTGCAAGTTAGGATAGCCTCTTAGTTCTACCCCGCCCCACCCTTCCCCTCACAAAATGTGGAAAAGATGGAAAAGGTAATTTAAAAAAAAAAATTAAGAAACCCTAGAACAGCAATTCAAATATTGTTAATGAGAAGAACTATCCAGTCCTGATTAGCATTATTTTAAAATCTCTCTGCTCATTTGAAAACTGCGTAGTGCCTTTGAATTTACTCCGATCAACAACTTTAAGAGGTGATAAAAAATTAATCAAAACGTTGTTTGCATTTCTACTTACTTCTCCTCTTACTTTCCCCTATATTGTTTGCTTTCTGTGGTGTTTTGCATTTACGTTTTCATTCCGAGAAAGAGAATGCCTGTGACATGATGTTGCAGCACTCTCTAGGGTGTGTGTGTTAGGGCCAGTTTCTTTATGTTTTTTAAGTGTTAAAAGCGCTGACGTGCTGAAATATACAACACGCGATGTCAACAGAATTGCGGAACACCCTCCTAACCTCATCAGAGGGTTCACGGGGTTCAGGAACTACCAATTGGAAGTGAGATAGTGTGTATATGGGCAGGGTCTGGGAAGACTAACGTCCAACTAACCCAATAGCCCTAACAGTACCTGCGACTACTACCATCATTCCCTCAACACCCCGGTGGCAGTTTCAATGCGTCGCCCCCCCCCCCCCCAAGCAATTGTTTTTTAGTTGTCCCGCTCTATGATTGAAGTATGTAGGGTTAACGACTCAAGGATGAGTTAAAAACTAGCTACAAATCCAGGAAACTCTATTCAAGCGTAATGTCATATTGCACATTTGTTATTGGGGCCCTGCAAAACGGAAAGTAACCTGTAGTTCAGTGTGGGTGGGCTGGCTTCAGTAAAAGAGCCCTAAATTTGCCTAAGACAGCTACCGCTCATTTTAGGGCAGACTAGCTTTGATCATGATGCCAACGACCAAATAAATTCAGCGCGAAAAACTCAGTTATTATATTATATATGATTATGTCCAATAACGTAGCCCTAAGCAACTGCTATAAGAAATACCAAGAGCAAACACACAGTCACACACAACCTCACACAAAGCACACACACACACTATCTCATTCAAAGGCACACAATTACACACAATCTCACACAAACGAACACAATCACACACAATCTCAAAAAAGGCACATCATCATACACATTCTCACACACAGGCACACAATCTCACACACAAACACACATACACGATCACACACAAACTCACACAAAGAGAGGCGGCTGTGTTCATTTTCCGTTAGCAGTATTTTATTTGTAGAAAGCATAACAATTTCAAATATCACTTGTAAGGATACAGCTGAAGAGATATCGGTGCATGCTGTAGGTCTCCATGATTTGTGCACATTCGTTGGTACCCAACTACCTAGCTGTATGTGTTGTTGTTTTTTTTTTACCGGAAAGGGGGGAAGGGGATTTTACAATATGCCAAAGGTACATATGTGAATTTATACTACAAACAGGTAATAACAAAAAATGAATTATTACTTTTCACACAGCTAAGAAACTTTCGTTAGATTTTACACATTTTTTTTCCCGAACCAGGGTGACTTTGCCGAAGTGCCAATGATGTTTCATAGACAGAGGAAACTGAACAATACTAAGACAATGCAGAGTTGCTGTTAAGCCTAGCCTTTCCTCATGTACGGTTCTATGTCCAGCTGTGTTGCGTCGGGTGTTACACCAAGCCTTTTCTCATGTATGGTTCTATGTCCAGCTGTGTTGCGTCGGGTGTCAGACCGCAGCGCCGGGTAAATGTGTTGCCGTATTTCCATACCCATTTATTAAATACTGGTAAGATAAAACATTTTTGTACTCACAATGAGACACAAGGTAATACGTTATAATTAGGTGGAGCAGCTATGTCAATAGGGATTAACTATTAATGTGGACGATCATCAAGGAGCCCTTACAAATCCTTACATGATCAGTGGTCGTCATCATCTTGGACAGTGCTAACAAGCAGAGGATGTCCCCACCATCTCACAAGATCGTCAGTTGATACTGACCAGCTTAAGAATCGACATCACAGTACACCGGATATCAGTACACAGGATATACTCACTAGATGCACTGTGTACCGCAACAAATGTCTGAGGGTCAGGTCAGGTGCTCTCTGTTTCTTCAGGGTTTGCGTGTGTATGTGGGTGTGTGTTCGCGCGCGAGCGTGAGCACATATTTACCACACATGTCTTTGCATTTGACTTGAAATTTATAATATGCATAATTTTACATGAACATAACATGCTTTATTGATGAAATACAACTGCTGTGTGAAAGATGGGAGTTTGGAAGGGCCGAATGTAAGACAGGCCTGCGTGCCTAATTTGTATCCCTTTGAAAATAAAGTTCGTTCGTTCGTTCGTTCGTTCGTTCAGCACACAGATAATATACACGTCCTTCTCTTCCTCCCATACGTCCCATCGTTACCTGATCCATTCTTAATTGCACATTCATGATTCTTCGTATGTTTTTGTCTTCTTTTTTTTGGGGGGGGGGGGGGAAGGGGGGAAGGGTGGGAGGATCTAACCTCTTGTTTTTTATCAGCATTCATTGATAAGCTCTTCAGAATGTCTCCTGTGTCCACTACAATTGTTCCCTTAGCTATTGCTTTTGTAGCTAGAATACACGCTCTAACATTCCCTCTCACTCCCTAATTTCCCCAACAGTATACGCATGTGAGTTCCTGGAACGATCACGTGCTGATGATTGCTATCCACTCATGCCACATTTGTCACTTTTTTTTTTTTCTTCATATTGCATCTCTCAAAAATGCCTACTATTATCTCAGTAATCACGGATCAGGTTTGCCATTGATTTCTTTTCTGTTAATAACCAAACTGGTTGGATGACTCTAGCATTGTATTGTCTTCAAGGGAAACTAGATACCTTGACATACAGCAGTCTGGCAGATACTCTCAGGCACAATCCATCAACTGCTCCCATGATCTCTGATAAGCCAAGAAAGGTCTCTCGGCAATACAAGTTAGCAGAGCTGCATGCTTTGAGCAACGGCTAATTGTAATGTTGTATCATGGGTTAGTTTTCTCCACCATTGAATATACACTGGGCATCATGGCACTCAGCCCCACAAATGTGAACAGATTGGGAAAAAAAATCGAAACCAAGGCAATACGCGTTATTCTTGGATGCAATAGAGATACTTCTTGTAAATCCATGCGATACCTCTTGGATTTCTCCCAAAGAAAAACATAATCAAGCTATCCAGGAACGTTGCTTTTCTCAAAGTGAAGTCAGACCCTCGACACCCACATGATAAATACTTTGGGTCGTGCCGAGGACGCCATCAAACATCTTTGCCGACTTACTGACAATAATTTTGAAATTGAATATTATTAAATGCCTTCTTTACCAAACATTAACACTAGAGTCCACGTCACACACGATGGAAGCTAAAGAGAGCTAATTCCTGGCATTGTGGACACTTTTGTCAGAAGACTGATTGAAGGAAACACAGGTGAAGGTGATGCTATAGTTTACACAGATGGGCAGTAATCAGGGGCAAGCAAAGTGCATGGGCATTCTCAGTCAGCTCAAGGGATAACACCGTCTAAGAGATGAATGGTGGCTTTGCTATTACAACCAGCAGACTTATAATGAAAACTAAGGCTGTAACAAGGGCATTAGTATGGCCTGGTATTAAAGAGTTCACATATGCGTGCATACTTAGTGATTGGATGAATATGCTTAAAAACATACGGACTGGTTTTGTCAGCCAGGAACGGATCACACCACATAGCACTTCGCGAATGGCTGCCCTAACCTTAATCTGTGTGCTAGGTTATGCGGGTGTTCAAGGGAATGAGCGCGTAGATCATCTTGCTGACACTGTGGTTGCTATGGCTGGTGCAGTACTGGGCGGAAGGGATGTTATCAATGCCATGCGCGGCAATAATTGTACCGAGGAGCATTACAGGGTTTTTGCCATCTAGGAAATCACTCAGACGTTGGCAGGCTGACCGTACTTACCCCATTTATTTCCCACAACAACTGGACAACCACCATCTAGTGTCTTATGGTCTAATTCTCCCGAAAGTTTGACATTGTACCAAAATACTGCCATTTTCTGTGATAAAATTGTACATAAGGCTCTGATTAACTCAGCACACCGTTTGCTGCTACTTGCACTGAGAATCAACGTGTGAATGTATTTGTGTATTTGTGTGTTTGTGTGTGATGTGTGTATGAGTGTGTGTGTGTGTGTGCGTGGCTAGGTGTGGTAGGGGTTCTTTGCCTGCTAGAGATATAAATAAATTACCACACGATAAGATGCAAACTTGTCCATGTTGTTGTATTACATCTAACAATAGGATCAATCTATCATAAATGTCTTTCTTTAACTGTCTATGTACTTCGTTTACCAACGGAACCAATAAGTCATAATAACTTCATTTACATTTCCGTACAATGCACATAACAGCAAGAACCAGACAGAAATAATATCTTTATATAGATTTATTTATATATAACTACCTGATTTATGATGATATATGAAATAGACGGTTTATGAAGTTTTTTTAATGAAATATTTAGCTTACAGCATTATCTGCTAAAAAACAAAAGGTTTAAAAGTTTTATTATGAAATACACAGTTTAGACTATGCGCTTTTTTTTTTTTAAGACATACACGGATACAACACTGAGGATACAGCACTTGACTGATAGATAAAAACAGATCCAACAGAATCACGATGAACAGTTCAGAGTACACATAGGCCAGCACAGTCTGAAGAGAGTGAAGCAGCCATCAAGAAGTGGTCAAGGGATCTATCCAACACCCACCGCTCAGGAAAATGGCGAAAGAGTGAAGCAGCCAAAGATAGGTCAAAAGATCAAGCCAACACTCACCGCTCAGGGAACGGGCGATAGCGTGAAGCAGCCAGTGTGTGTTAGTCAAAAGGTCTAGCCAATACTCACCGTTCAGGGAACTGGCGAGAGAGTGAAGCAGTCAGTAGGAAGTGGTCAAGGGATCTAGTCAATACTTACCGCTCAGGAAACTGGCGAGAGAGTAAAGTAGCCAGTAGGAAGTGGTCAAGGGATCTAGCCATCACTCGCCACTCATGGAACTGGCGAGAGAGTGAAGCAGCCAGCAGGTGGTAATCAAAAGATCTAGCCAACACTCACCGTTCAGGAAACTGGCGAGAGAGTGAAGCAGCCAGCAAGAAGTGGTCAAAAGATCTAACCAGCACTCACCACTCAGAGTGAAGCAGCCAGCAAGGGGTGGTCAAAAGATCTAGCTAACACTCACCGCTTAGGGAACAGGCGTGAGGGACGTAGTCCTAACTGATACTGGTGGTATCATCGACATCGATTATGGGAATTCTTTATCTTCTTCCTCTTTCTGTTATCCACCGTTATCCAACTCAGCTGAATTGTCCATGAAAAGTAGGTTTTGTGTTTTGGCTATTGATTTTTTTTTTAACGGTATGAGGTAGCCAACCCAAAGCCTAACACTACCCGTAGTCGCCTCTTACGACATGCTTATTACTCATTGTTATAATTCATTGCTTCCCCTGAGTGCCACTGTAAAAACAAATGATTCTAATTGCCCATTACTGTATATTGAAAGAGTATTTACAATAGATGCTTACATTGACTTGGCTGACAGCAACATAAGGTTTCGGAAAGAGGGTTGATCCGCCTCGCTCTGCGTCTGTCAGCTAGAAGTGTAGCAAACATAATACAGTCAATATTATAACTAGTTCTAAGTTCTTCGGTTCTGTAGACCCAGTGAAGCGAAGACCGTTAAGTAGCTAGCGACAATTTGTCCTATCCTTTGCTGTCAGTCTATAGAGCTCAACGCAGGGATGTCGTTAGTTGCCTTCTCTTTATGTGTCTCGATCCTACCTGCATGGTTCAAACTCTATAGTGCGTTTCATAACTCAGGCCGTCACACTTTAATAAATGTCTCGAAAACTCCTGAACAGATCTAGTGCATTAGATTTCCTGTGTCCTTATGATTCTTTAATTTACAATTGTGAAGGTGCTGCTGTTTCCCTAATGTGGCTAATGTCTTTGATCTTTGTTTGAATAATAATGTTTGCACCAATTAAAAAAATAGAATTTACAGTAGTTGACACACGTGTTAAGATTGTTTGAAAATCAGTTGATTTGTTCAGTGATGCGTTGTGATTTTTTGGATAGCCTATTCCCCACCTAATGAAAAATCTGCATATCACTGGTAACTTTTGCTGGAGATGACCACATGAGAATAAAACGCTTGTTACCCACGAGCAGTCTGATGTTTGGTAAAGTTTCTCTTACTTCAGTTACTGTAAGCATCATCATTGTTTACTTTGAATTTGTGTCTGTTTTTTAATTTACAAGATGAAAACTAAACATTTGTTTACATTAAAAAAATACCTACAAAGACAGTATTATTATTATTTTTTTTTTTTTTCAAATTTACAAAACAAATTGATTAGCGCGATGATATTATTGGCTGGCTGCATGCAGGCCCGCCACCACAGAGTTAACCTTAGAGGGGGGAGCACTCAACACTACTCCCCTCAGATTAAGAAATATACTTTGAATGCAAAGGCCGGAAGATTTCACAGCCTTTTTTGACAGAATTTCTGAGTATAAAGCACTTAAATGACATGACGAGAATTCAATGATGGGACAAAAAAAAGTTTCTAAGTATTAACATATTTACTTTCGTTTCATTATTTCTTGTTTTCGGTTAATAAACGGCATCAGTTGTAATCTGGTCTGCGTGCTATGAACATTGTTTGCGTTAATTTGTTTTTGGTAAACATTTTACTTTAAAAAAAAATAAGATTAACGCTTAATATGGATTCTAAGAAAATAAAACATGTAACTGACAGTGACAGTGGTGGGGAAAAAAGCCGAAGTATATTACTGCTGAAACAAACAAGGAATGAATAACTTTAAACATAAGGATGGTGCTCGTGTTTCAGATCTTGCCAAGCAGTAAGATATGGTTGCATCTGCGATCTGTGCTGCAATAAAGAACAAAATTGGGCTAAAGACGGCTGATGTGTCTGTCTAACGGAGTGTCTGTTTTGACGAAGAACAGGTCTAAAGTATTACAAATGAAAGCAGAAAAATTACTGCCTGCCACAAAACCAGCAATCAAACCACTTCACAGGATACAAACACGAGGCAACAAATATTCACGAATGCCTACATATGTCAACTATATTATTATGTAATGGGACTCCTCTTTGAAGTAGTATTCTTCCTCTTCCTCTGTCACCTGCCAGGCCATTAATTATCAACCACAAAAGCAAAGTTATATGTATTTTTTTTCAAACATATTTTTGTCGCTCTTATATGCAATGAAACAATTTTTTATTTACCGTGTTTCTGGGGCGGGCGTATTGATTAATTATATTTGCATTGACTTCATTTGAAAACATTGTTCAGCCCTCGAACATTTAGGTTCGCCAACGGAGTCGAACAATGAATTCGGTTGGCTACCCAAAATACCGATGTATATTCATGCTTACATATAAAAGGAACGTAGCCATTCTGTCGCCGCCAAACAAACCACTTGGGGTAGGTGGGAGGTTTTCCTCTAATGCCTGCTGTTGTTCTTTCTGGCCAAAAGGCCTCACGTCTCTTATATCATAGTCTGTTCCCCCCCCCCCCTCCAGCTAAATTCTTTGCTAAAGATTAATCGCCGTTGAGTAGCCCTGAAAAGAGCTGTTGCAGCGTTGATGTGATTGACCAGTGTCCTATTCGCCTCAGGGATATCTTTCTACATCCATCTTCCGACCTCACTGTAAGTCCTCAACCACTTTCAATTTTTAATTGACTCTATCTGTACTTATGTGCTCTGTTTTTACACCATATGTGAACAAACAAACAAAAAACATATGCACATATGTATTGTGCCTATAAAAAACAAATCCTAAATATTGAAATAGTGTGTGGGCAGGACATCCAGGAAAGAAACCACGGACTCAGAAAGCAAAGCCTATTGTCCTTCTCAGGGCTATGGGTAGACCAGACAACAACAAAACAACCCACACAAACACACAGACCTGACTGACATGGTGGTGAGTACGCAAAGAGAAACCAGTTAAGCGTAACCATACGCAACAAAGAGACGATGAAATCAAATTAAGCAAAAGATCGAAGTCATGATATAAACGCCTTTTAATCCTAGGAGCTGGTTGAAAGTGACAACAACTTTTTATTTTTTCAAATACCGATTACAGATTACCGAAGTCGCCTACTGGTGGACGAATAAGCAACCCGGTCAACGTGGCTGTTCAGCTCAGTGCGACTATACAATTGTTGCTAGAGGATACAAACACTTTTGTTGTAGATACGTTAAATTTATCACAGTCAAACAATGAAACCGCGAGGATTGTTAAATACATATCAAACACGCCCATAGGCATAAAGACATACGTATATATATATATATATATATATATATTATATATATATATATATATATATATGCATACATAATACATACATGTATTAATTCACAAACACACACTCATACGCGTGCGCTCAAATACATTTAGATATATGTATTTTATACACGCATACATACACATCAGGCATACACATAATTATATACACGCGCACACGCACTACACACATATATAGAAACTTTCATACACATCATATACATGCAAGAAACTCACACAATAATAAATACACATGAATAGACTTCCCCAGCCACTTTGAATTCATAATGCAATTCATGACAACCATTGGTTGCTGATCTGCCCATCTGACAGTCCTCAGCATGCAAAAATGAAAAAAAGGTCTGAAAATGAGATCTTGTAGCTTGATACAAGCAACTTGAGATACTAGCACATAAACTGGTACAGTTTCTTTCTCTTTCTCTCTTTTTCTTCTTTCTCTCTCTCCTTTCCCCCCCTTTTTTCTCCTCTCTCTTCTTTCTCTCCTTCCTTCCCAACCCCTTCCCTCCCTCCTCTCTTATTATATATATTAAACACCCCCACACAAACACACAAAAC